CACCAATTTCTTCCAAACTTGGCACAGTTGTTGGCCTTGGTACAGCATAAAAAACCGCCGAAACTTTTTAAAATCGGACAATAACCACGCCCACATCCCATATAACGGTAATTTAGAGAAATACAAAATCTTCGATAAATCATTAAATATTGAAGCTAATTTTTTCAAAATTGATGCTTGCAACAATTCTTTACCAAGAAATACGTTTATGGTAAAATTTTGGAAAATGGGAGTGGCACCGCCCACTTATGATCACATATAAGTATACCGGTAACCGTTCTACCAATTTGTACCAAACTCGGTATGGTTATTGTACTTGCCACGTGTAAGCAAAACGTTGAAAATTATTGAAATCGGACTAATATAACGGCCGATTCTCATATAACGGTAAATTTAAGAAATGCTTGAAACTTCAATATTTCGAAATTGAAGGACGCTAATTTACTCAAAATTGTTACAACTCGGCTTACCATCTAGCGGAAGGTTTCGGAAGGGTGAAAAAACATATATTTAATACTTGCCCCGGGTATTTAATGTTCGGCTCCGCCCGAACTTAGCCTTTCTTACTTGTTTTGGTTAAAATTAAAAATAAATGATTATTTTCCGTCCCTGTAAAAAATTAACTGCAATTGCTTCACTGTAAACTTGGTACGTCTGACTGATTTTCTATAACAACGACCTCCTACTTGGCGGCACGACATAGCATAGTGGAGAAGACAAAAAAGTAAGAAAAGAAATGTATTTCATTCCAGAATGTGGCTTGCGGGAAAAACTTGAGCTAGCAAATTAATTTTGATTGCATTTTTTGCAAAATGAGAATTTGAATAAATACATACCAGTCTTACAAGATTAACCAGCAACTTTGTGCACTTTCCTCGATGTACTTTAGGGTACAACACTCCATACAGAAAACCTTTGTTCTGTTTCTCCATCGGAATTAAACTATTAATGATTTTTTTAAAAATTCCTCAAAAAATTTCGGAAAAATATTAAGATTTACGTGACCTGGGCCGATTTGAAAATACCACCAAAAATCTGATTATTTTGATACCTTTCGTAAAATTTTTAAAATTTTTATCCAGACTTTTTAAGCTTAAACTGTTCTATTGATTTTTAAGTAAAAAATATTTATTAAAACTAATTTTATTGATAAATTCTTCTATGGAAGTACGTATTTTCAAATCGATTCAGCTCACTTTAAATATTTTAAAATTATTTTGGCAGAAGTCTTAAAATATAATAGATCTCATAATTCCAGCAATATAATAGACTCACCTATAACTACGTATTGCTCGCTGATTACCTTATAGGGTACTTCAGTATAACTTATGCATTGCAAATAAAACTATCCGCGCCACGTTTTTCGCGCCAATGTGCTACAATTTTCCATAGCTGAAGACATTGTGGCTAAAATTAAGCGAATAAGTCTATGCTTTGGCAATACCGCATCCCTATAAATACATATTGGATGTATGTATGTACGCTCCTCGTCATTTGAATAGGGCACCCTTTTTTACTTAATATTTAGTTTTCCTTTTGTTTATTTAATATAATATAAAACAGGGACCGAAAATAACAGTTCTTTTTTTATGTCATAAAAGCCCGGGGAGAAATATATCGTAGAAGAGAGTTGTCAGTGTTCCTTTGATTCCAGGATCTCCTGGACAAGAATCCGGATTCTTTTTATTTTTCGAACTTTTTAAGAAAAAGTGCAATAATAACTGAAAAACCCGGACTGTTATTTTTTTTAGTCCAGTAATAACAGTTAAACTTGTCCAAATATTTTTTAAGTCAGAAATAAGTCTTTTGCTAATATAAACAAATCACTTATCCAAATTTAACAAATTCGGTATCAAATGAAAGAGAACTGAAATAGCTTTAGTGGCAACCCTCCTCAAAAATATTTTCGGCGGCAAACTTTCTTAAATCTCTTCAGTTTGATACCTATATTGCAATGTTCAATTTATCTTATCAATTAAATTAAATAAAAATTTCCAAAAAGGTGGCAACCTTCAACAAAATTATATTCGGCTGTAAGCCTTCTTAAACCTCTTTCTTTTAGCAGCCTTATTGTAATATTTACTTTATCTTATCAATTCACTTAAACTGCAATTTTAAAACAGGTGGCAACTCTGTAAACCTTTTCTTTCTATATTTTAAGTTAAGACCTGCAGCAATACATCGATGAAAACTGCATTCAATTCCATGCATTAGTTTTCGCGTACAAACATACAGACAGACAAAAATTCTTGTTGATTTGGATTCTGTTACTCTAATAAAGACCCCCCATATTAATTTTTCTTTAATATCTATAATGTAGAGTCATCGGCCTGTTACAATTTTATTGTATGTATAGGTAATGAATATCGAATAAACCAAAGGAAAACTGTAAATATTAAGCTATCAAAAAGATGCGCTATTCAAATGACGAGGAGTGTATGTATTATATAGACGTACCAGAACATACAAAAATTACTTATGCACGTACATATGTGTGTATGTCTGTATGTAAATACATATACATACATATAGTATATGGTAAAAGCTGGCGTAAAATTATTGGTTGAAGTGGCTTGGATTCTTTCTGTCAACAGCCGATTATGGCTGAAAGCAACAAAGAAAAGTAGATAAAGTTTGTTAAGCAATAATAACTTCATTAAAATAATCAGCAAGTGTTAGGCGAGCAAAAGCCGAGAATGAATGGAAAGAAGCATCATATAAAAATGAAGAAAAAACGAGACGTTAAATTACCTGAAGTGAAAAGAGCGTTTTTGTTTTTGGCTTTAGAAATCACTTAAGAGTCGTACATATAATAAGAGACCCTGGGAAAGGCT